ATGCCGAAACGAGGATGTTGATCCGAATGCGCTGTAGTCGCAGATCTTTTCGCCGCAGTTCCGCGCAAGGCGCCACGCGAGCCGCGGGAACGTCCTACGACATTATGCAGCGCTGGCAGCTATGGATCGTAGCGCCGAATGATTGGCGGGCGCACGGATCGTGCGCCGAATGAATTGGCGGTCGCGCCGGATCCGTGGCGCCGATGAATTGGCGGGCGCAGGATCCAGTAGCTGCCACGCGAATCAGTCCGCATGGTTAGTGCGGGGACCTCAGAGGGTAGAATTTGGCGACGTCGAACAGTGGTTCACTTGCTTATAAAAGTGTAACGGAGTAATGTGTTCGTAACCGACGCTGTGTCACGACGAATCCAGAAGGACTGCTCGAATTCTGACATTCTCGAACCTTGCCCAGTATGGAACACGGCTGTCAGAATCAGGAAACACCTACCGGCGCTCTTTCGGCCCAATCGCTCCAACGTTTTGCAACGTTCATGGCGAGGCTCGTACCGGGGTGGAAGCAGGTGCGCGCTGCCCGCCGCTTATGTAGCCCATTAGACTGCACTCTCTCGACCTCTTCGCTTATGCTTCAGGTCACTCAATAGGCTATCGAGGTGGGAGCGGTCCTAGGTCGTATATATAGCCTTGCCTCGCGCACCTTCTGGAAAGACGAGTGGCGTCTATACTAGAACATTAACAATTTGTAGTAAATAGATTTCGTATTTTAGGTAGCATTATATTTATTTGGAAACGGTCGAAGTGCCTGATGCCGGCGGTCGCGTCCGCAGTAGACTGGTATTACATTCCACACCTCGGCTACGGCTACGATACTTGTATTATACAAGTACATGTACACTAATTTACTACTAAGTACATACTAGTCGTAGTTGTAGTAGTTAGTCTACTAACAGTTCCAGCACTACTAGTATATCAGTCTGTAACACCAGGACGCGGAGTCAATAGTATAGTATAATGCTAACTTCTGTTACTAGTATTACTTACTATATAAGACGAACCGCTACCAACCCTAACTCATTATATTGACTATAATTCTTATTTATATATGTATGGACATTGGTTTAGTTGCTGCATGCCATACATTGGGCCCTATAATATTGTGGAGCAGTTCTCTATCTGTGAACCACTGTATACTAGACTACTACGACTAGCAGAACGCTCTTTGCTAGGGTTAGAAATACCCTAGGCATACTGAGACAGGCATTCAGCGTTTCAATAAAATTAATGCTAACTCAATACGGAATCTATTTCTTACGAAATTGTTATGTGTTCTTAGTATAGGCCTTACTCTATAAGGGCCTACTTAAATAATGGGTTAATAAATCACAACTTGTCGTTGATGACATAACGGTATAGCATAGTTTTAATTTTGGATTTACACTAATAACTTCACTTCAACACCCTTAAATACACCGATGCAAGCACTATGCCCGCACGCCCATTGTGCTGCACAAGATACACAGTAGATAGGCAGCTCGAAACCATAATCACGTCAGCTGCCGTGTCCAATAGACTGCCGTACAAGATTAATATTCGCGCATCTAGAAACTTAGATGGCTGACGATAATTAAAAAGCCAAGTAGACTGAGTACGACCTTCACTCAGCCAACTATTTTGGCGTCTTACTGAAACAAAGACATGCAGTTACGCTATTCGTGTTGACTGTGCGCGCGCGGCAGTCCTACGGTCATCGATCGACGCGGTTTTTATAAAAATTGGAAATCGTACGGTAGATGGAGACTCGTTGGCATCTATTTGGTCGCGATGAACTTCAAATTCAATGTGAGGGGCATGATTCCAGCGAAAGGGAAAATTTTTTTCTAACTTTTTTTCGACGCGCGCCAGACAAGCAAGTACAGCAATGTTCGAGCATTTGGGTTTTCTCGCCCTACGTGAATCAGTCCAAGGCTTGTGGAAAGCGCCAAAACTGCTCAATTGACCGATCAGAGGCCGATCTGATAAAACCGTTAAAGTCATATTGACAGAGCAGCGAATTCGTTCTAAAAGGCGCCACCAGGTGGCGCGAAGCGCGCTTCGCGCGGATATCAGGCTGCAGAACGTCTAGGGTAGCTCCTAGATACAATAATGTAACCAAAACCCAGGATAGGGGTTGGGTTTGGGTTATGGGTTGGGGTTAGATTATTGTATCTAGGTTAGCTCCCTAATCAGAGTGCATAGCGATTAATACCTAGGTAATGCCGTAACTTGTCTAGACTATAGTTTCTTCTTGATACACTACAGGCTGCATGATGCATACAACATGGCGTGTTAATAACACTGCTGTACAGTCTTATGACATATAAATATATACAGACGAAAAACCCTCCGCTGCACCAGTGCACCACAGCCACAGGCTGAATATAATATATATGACTGTATGCCAGTTGAATTTAATTACAATCATATGTGCTGAATTAGTGAATAAGCACTGTAATCATCAGAAGTTTGGGTGTAGTCAAAGAACTTTATAACCAGACTATCCTTTGTTCGTCATTCTTTATAAAAACAACAATAGACTGTGTGACCGGCTGCCATAGGATATGGCAACAGCCTCGTCACCTAAAACCTTCACAACAATTGCAGAGCTTTACTATCGGTTCTACTGATAAATGCACATGCCTACCTTCTTTCGGGTGGATTATACCATAATGGTCCTACTCCGTATCACTCAGAATCCCAATTTTTAATATTAAACTGTATAGGATAAAACTATACTAGGGCTGTAATCTTAGTTACACGGTTTTGCGATAGGCATTATGCTAAATACAAATTGCAATTACCAAAGCAAAGCTGTATGGAAATTAGACCACTCAATTAACCTCTATCTTGTACTATGGCATGCAGGTCAGGGAACACTTCTTTTTAAATTGACTGATGTCGATGCAGTAATTGTGAAAATAAAAATCTGGCTGCACCACGCAAGTAACACACTTTCCGAATTAAAAAAAATGCAGAGACTATGGCAGTTCTCGGTGTTGCGGAATATCCACCATTTGGAATGTTGTTGCCAAATAACTAGAATACGCTACGTAACTACATCTCTGCTCTAGCCGTCTTCGATGAGCAAGGAATGCCCGAGTATTTCCGAGTCGTCATCACCGTTCCTCGTCTGAAGACAAAGCTTCGATTTCCTACAGTCTGGAAGAGGGATCTGGATGAACAAACTTGCATAATCAACGAAATTTCCTTCAACAAGAAGTACGTTGGTTTACATACATGTATTTTCTTGGTCTTTGGTCTTTACATATTCGATGACGTCGTTAACCTCTGAGATGTACGTAAATTATGTGCTGTTCCATTAACTTCGGTTAATTTAAAAGCGGGCGAATAACATGCAAAAGTTTAATTATTGCATGTTCCGATATAGAGAAGTTCATGGATCACAATTGCTGAATGATTATTTTATATTGGTCATGGGCATGTCTGATTTCTGATTTTCAGGTCATTTAAATTTGATGTCACAATAATCCAGCCACGTGGATCAACTCCAGCAAAGATCCGCTATAAGTTGGCAGCGCAGGAACTGCCGGGTGTTATCATCCTAGGGGAGAAGGAGAGTTTTTATAAGGTACGAATTATGAATGGATTAAAGAGCACAACCTAAGGTAATATGCTCTTAATAGCATATAACACATTGAACAGCCTTTAGCATTGCATAGTCTATACACAGTAGACGTTAGTGCTAGGAAAACAGACTGAAGCGGTTCCGTTGACCCCCTTGCAGCTTTCTATTTCTGTTCAACCTTGATGTGACAGCTGTAAAATGTTTATGCTACAGAAGTCCAAATATGCTGTTCTCTGACACCAGAGGGCAGCACCTCCTTATGTCTTGGCATTCTAATGTAAATCTTTGTTGGCTCGTTAGTTTCCAGAAGATGGTTGTGCGGTTCTATGCATGAGGAAGAGCAACCCAGGAACACGTTGGCCAAGTATGCTGGGTGTAGAAGCCAGCCCTGAAGAGCAGAGAGCAGCGAATAAACAGCGTTAAAATGCATAAAAGTAATGCAGTATATATATGCACATATATGCTGCTCATTTTTCCAGAGATAATGTCTGTCACTGTTATTACCTTCGCGCAACGGAAGTCATGTAATCGGTCTCGTGTGTGTGTGTGTAGCCACCGCGCAATCGATAGCGCGTAGAGTCAGCGAGTGGCGAGTCAGCAGCAGCCACCAGTGAGCGACGAGTCAGCAGCAGGCGAGTCGGTCAGCAGCCGCTACCAGCGAGCACATACATGTTACATGCTCGCGGAGGTATGCACTCTCCGTGAGTGCCCTCTGTCTAGTTGTTCTAGGATTTTAGTGCATTCACGCAGCCTCCCTAGTACATGGGCAAACAATGCCCGAAGTAACCTTAGGACTAGGGAACAGTCGTTTCATTCAGTATTAGTGTTTCCGTAGCATGCATTTAGTTTATATCGTAACAGCTCTCATGCAATTCGGCATGAGTTAACCACCGGTGTCTGTGTAGAATAATTGTTAAATTAGTATGCAGCAGCCAGAGGGCAATGAAGGCTTGAGGTTTTATAATGACAACAAGTGTAGTCATAGAATTCTACGCATAACATCAAAACACTGTATACTGCCTATATACAAATAATGCTGAAAGTGGTTGTAATTGTGACAACGGGCATACTGCTTTTCGAACGTTTCAAGTAATTATTTGTAAAAGGTAAATGCCTAGAATTGCTTACTACTAAAGCAAAATTGCATAGCATGAATGGTCATGTTTTTTTTAATGCTTTGCAACATTGCCATGGCAAAAATGCAATATTATTATATATAGAATTACTGCGTAAAAAGATAAAACTCGAATATAATTATGACCACTGAAAAATACCCATCCAAATGCTATACAGTATAACGTTTTATCTCAGGAAAGATAAATTAATTTAAATATATATATTAGAACTATTAGCAACCTAAGAGCTTTTAAAATCTGCACTGCTGTGGAAGTGAGCGCAGGTCCGTAGCCAGAGGTAAATTTTGTAGGAGGCAAATGTTGTGAGTTAAAGAACAAGGTGCGAAGTGAGCCAATAGGGCGTGGGGTATGGGGCAAAAAAGAAATGTTGAGAAATTTTGTAGGAGGCATTTGCCTCCTATTGCCTAATGGTAGCTACGGCCTTGAGTGAGCGCTAATCCACCAGCCTCATGATTCTGAAGCCCTACTGGCTATTCACTGTGAGATGCTGTACTAGCTTCCGCTTACACATGCAGCGAGCTCCACAGCTTCCGCCGCTCGCATGCATGTGCGTCTGATTAGCTGCTACAATAATGTGGCCGTATCGAGTGAAAACATTGCAGCTCGGCAATATAGTCAAGATGTGGGGAATCGGTTCTCGCCTTTGCCCATACTCTGTACAGTGGGTATACAGAATTGTAGATACAGAATTACAGGAAAAGAAGCGCGCAGTAAGTATTACTTGTAAGCACTCGCGTCATTCACCCACTGCTCAAGTGGTGTGTTGACATCTCAACATAGGTGTATGCATGGATTGTAGATTCAAATAACTTAATGAGTATGTGTTTTGTGTGTGTGCGTGCGTGCGTGCGTGCGTGCGTGTGGGTGTGTGTGTGTGTAATGTGTAATGTGTGTGCGTGTGCGTGTGTGTGTGTCTATTAGAAATAGTCGATGTGGAATTATAAAGTTATATAGGTAGATTATTTTTTATCAGGATTACTTGTTGGCAATGGACTAATTAGATGTTTTGGTATAAATCTGTTCATACGAATTTTTTTTGTAAACCTTATATTTTTATTGCTGAGTACAATTAGTGTTATTTTAATTTGTTCCAATGTCAACTTACAAGAAAATGATGATTGGCTAGTAAGTTAACGGTAGGTTTCTTGATATTTACTATGAAGTAATTATGTTTAGATTGGGCAATAGCACCATTTGCCATTTCTAACAATTTTTCTGTGTACGTATAGTGTAATATATTTCTAACAAATAATTAAAAGTTTTGATTTACCAGTAAAATATTATTGCTTTATTGTTTGACTTCTGCTGCTTGGATTTTTTAAGGTTGAAAATTTACCAAGCTATATTGGTTATGGTATGACAATTGCAATGATAATGTTGATGATAATGATGGTGACGATGATGGTGCTGACATCGACGACTACGACTACGATCATGATGATGATCATGATGATGATGAAAATAATTATTAATGTAAAAATAATGATAATAGCAATAGCAGTGCGACTTCAATTTTTTATGAGATTAAAATTGTTTCTATGATTATATAAAATGGTTAACAATTCCAATACCAGCGTTAACACACACATATCCTATACAGCCATTAATTATCAGAAATACAAAACGCAGCCGTATATTTTAATGTACGTTTAATTTGATGACATATTTATTAGTTCTAGCTGCGTTATCATCAATATATGGAATCGGTTAGTCCCTGCTTCATGAGGTAAGTGTGTGCTCACCTTAAAAGTGTATCACCTGCCATCTCTTCCCGTGTATGATGGTTGCAGTGTTAATTCACATCCCGCGGCAAGTTATTCCGTACGGGCTGGGCTCCCTGGCTGCAATGAGGTTGGACACAGAGAGCTAGCAGAGACCTCGAGCGCCCATTTCGTGCTAATGTACGTAGCATCACATCTTCATTGTTAGTTCCATAAGCGGAATGATGGCCCACATTGCTTAGCAAAAGCCAGGACGATGCAACATGCGCTATCACGTCACGTGCTATTATCTTCTTTCAACGGTGTTCCTGGCGGGTACTAAGTATTTAAGTTCGCGTGTACGTAGCAGAACGTAGTAGCACAAGGGATTGCGGGATACGCGCGCACAGGCACGCAATTGCGCACACATACATACGCAGAGCATATTGCCGGCAAAACATGCTGCATATAACGAAAGTGTAGAAGCGTGTGACTTTGCGCATTTTTTCGATACAAGTTCGCCTTAGATATTGCTGTTGCGTATACACTGATGATCACGGGGAAACGCATAAACGTGAAGCTCATACGCGTGCAGCCCGCTGTTATGACGCCGCTCCCAGCTTCCTCGCCTTTGTGGTGCCATGACACCGCTCCTAACTTCCTCTGCTTGTGTTGCCATGACAGCGCTCTCAGATTTCTCTCCTCGTGTCGCCATGACAATGCTCCCAGCATCCTCTCCTCGCTTTACCATGACAACGCTTCCTTTCCACGCGTTGCCATGACAACGCTCCCAGCTTTCCATGCGTTGCCATGACACCTCTCCCAGCATCGTCTCCTCGCCTTGCCATGACACCGCTCCCACAACCTCCTCTCAGGCGTCGATCGGCATCTGACTCATCTTCAAATGCTGCCTGATGCCGTAGCGGCACTTCACCTTGCCCTTCGTCTCGAAGTACACCTTGCCGGCTCCGGCGTCGCTGCGCTCGATGCGAAAGCCCTTGACGCCGTCGAGGATGTCGCACACGTCGCCGTGCACGGTCGCCAGCAGCGACTGATCCTTGTGGCTGCGTATGGCGACGTGTAGCTCGCCCTCGAGGCAGCGCGTCTGTGTGAAGGTGCCCACGTACTCGTCCTCCTCGAGCACGAGCTCGGCGCGCGTCTGCGTGTTGGCGGGCACAGGCACCTCGCTGTCGACGGACCACGTCAGCTGCTCCTCGAACGTCTCCGCGTTCGACGACTGCATCACGTACTCGGCCTTGAAGCCGGCGTTCGCCTGGATGATCGGATTCGGCGGCGCCAGCTTGACGCTGCATTCGGCGCCGTACGTCATGCCCTTGGTGACGCTGACGGTGCACGACGAGCGCGTCGTGCGCTCCGTCTTTAGGTTGTGCGTCTGCGAGTCGCCGCCGGCCGGCGTCGTGTTCGTGAAGATCGCCGAGAAGAGTACGTGCGACTTGGGCGCCGGCGCGCGCTGCTCGTCGTGCCACAGCGTCGTCTGCGACGAGCGAAAGTGCCGCCAGTTGATGTCCGTCGGCGAGATGTGCTTCGAGGCGAGCTTACGCAGCTTCTTCTCCGACTTGGGCCAGCTCTCGACGCGCTGCCACGCCCAGTCCAGGATCAGCTGCTCGACGTCTACCGCCTCCTGCGACATGTCGGCGCAGAGCTTTGTCTGTAACGACAACGTTGACGATGGGGTTTATTCGTGATGGCGATTGGTGATGGCGCTGGAGCGAGATAGGGGGATACTAATAATATGAGAATTGCGGCAGGTTGCGCCACTAGTACTCTCTGTCTGTCTCGTCCGTGTCTCTCTCTCTATCTCTCTCTCTCTCTCTCTCTCTCTCTCTCTCTCTCTCTCCATTATTCGCTCTCCCCTCC